GAAAACATTTCATTTTTGCTGATTGTAGGAGGAGATGGAACGGAAAAATGGGTACTGGTGGTCACTGGACAGCAAATACATAGCATTCACACAGGTTGATTCATCTGGCATACCTTTATTCAGAATTATGCATCAAGGTAAAAGTTCTGTTGGTCCTGAGGCACAGGAAGACCATGCTTACCCTTTTGCTGGAGGGCCAAATGTCAAAGTTCGCCTGGGAGTGGTGTCAGCTAATGGAGGTCAAATAACATGGATGGATCTTCTTTGTGGTGTAAAGGACAAAGCAAATGAGGACGAGGAATATTTGGCCAGAGTGAACTGGATGCATGGAAATATTCTGACTGCACAAGTCTTGAATCGATCACAATCCAAACTGAAAATCATCAAGTTTGATATCAAGACGGGGCAAAGGAGTGTAATATTGGTTGAAGAACATGATACATGGGTCAATCTTCACGATTGTTTTATACCTTTGGACAAAGGACTCAACAGAACTAATGGTGCATTTATTTGGGCAAGCGAGAAAACAGGGTTCAAACATTTGTATCTTCATGACACAAATGGAGTCTGTTTGGGACCGATAACTCAAGGTGATTGGTTGGTTGAACAAATTGCGGGTGTAAATGAAGTTACTGGTCTTGTATATTTTACAGGAACTTTGGATGGGCCTATGGAATCACACCTTTACTGTGCTAAATTGTTCCCCGATGCTAACAGTCCATTGCAGCCCCCTTTGAGATTGACTAATGGACATGGAAAACATGTCGTTGTGCTCGATCATCAAATGCAAAGATTCATAGATATCCATGATTCCTTGGTCTCACCTCCCAGAATTTCACTCTGCTCCTTGCATGACGGAAGCTTGATTATGCATTTATTTGATCAACCGGTCAGTGTTCCACAATCCAGAAAACTCCACCTTGAATCACCAGAAATAATTCAGATACAGGCCAAGGATGGAACTGCTCTGTATGGGGCATTATACAAACCAGATCCGATGAAGTTTGGACCTCCTCCATACAGAACTATGATTGAAGTGTATGGTGGTCCCAGTGTACAGCTTGTGTGTGACTCGTGGACAAACACAGTTGACATGAGAGCTCAGTATCTACGAAGCAAAGGCATCTTAGTTTGGAAGGTTTGCTCTTGTTCTCTTTTCTGTCCATATGCATTTTTATCTAAATTCATTCAGTTGTACCTACCTGGCCATACCAGTTTTGTCCAATAGGTTGACGTCTGATTGTTGTTATAAACCTCTCTTTTTCTCTATCCTAAAATTGCCGATCCCGTCCTTCAACCGTTTAGGGCCCAAAAATTGGATTCCACACATGACTTTTATGTGGAGACCATTGTCCCTCGTCTGTTGTGTATTTTCTAAATTGAGTTTCCTGTAGTTTTTCAAAGGAGATTGTTTGTATTTGTTTTTAGGGATTCATTTAGGAATATTATAGACAATACAGAATCAATAAGGTAAAGAAAAGACATTCCGAACTTAACTGCACAATTTTTTACAGATGGACAATAGAGGCACTGCTCGACGAGGACTCATGTTTGAGGGTGCACTCAAACATAACTTTGGCCTTGTTGACGCTGATGATCAACTGACAGGAGCCGAGTGGCTCCATAAACAAGGGCTTGCAAAACAGGGCCACATTGGATTATATGGATGGAGCTACGGTGGGTATCTCTCAGCTATGACGTTGGCAAGGTACCCTGAGGTATTCAAATGTGCTGTTTCTGGTGCTCCTGTCACATCATGGGACGGATATGATACATTTTACACAGAAAAGTATATGGGCCTACCATCTGAAAATCCATCAGTCTATCAAGAGGGCTCCGTAATGCACCACGTTGACAAGATCAAAGGGAAGCTTTTACTCGTGCATGGCATGATTGATGAAAATGTGCATTTCAGGCACACTGCTAGGCTTATTAATGCACTCGTGGAAGCCAGAAAGGCTTATGAGTTGTTAATATTCCCAGATGAACGTCACATGCCCCGGAGACTGAGAGACCGTATATACATGGAGGAGAGAATTTGGGAGTTCATCGAGAGGAACTTGTGAATGGCCTATTCATTGTTCTAGCAATCGCTTATGCCCTCGGCTCTCGGGTAGAGAAAATTTTGGGGCTCATTTCCAGTTCAACACAGCATGGTTCACTTGATTATAGAAGAAAAATTGTACTATTCTCTGATAAAATTAGAAGAAAGGTAGGCAGGCTAATAAAAGTTGTTTGTGTTAACTTAATCTGTGTTATAGCTGCCATGTACCAGATGTACAAAAATAATACAACACTCCATTTCCTGGGAAGAAATTAATTTGGTTTTTACCATCTCTACCTGTGATTAATGACATATCTAATGTATCGACATCAAGTTCATTTAAACTTAATATTTTCGTAATTGAATTCATCTGAAATTAGGGGTGTGCAAAAAACGGTTCAATTGATAAATAGTGTTGAAAAAAAGTTATTAACTTATCGGTATCGGGTTATGTGTTAACCGAAAAACGGTTTTATAAACTTTTTTTGAGCTATCAATTTTTGGTTTTAAGGTTTTAGTTAATGGTTAAATTGATAACCCAATAAAATTATACTCTCTGTTAGGAGTGGGTACGGTACGGTATTTAAAAATTTCGATATGGTACTTTTGATATTCGGTTTTTAAAACATTATACCATTACCATATCAATTTAATTCGGTACGGTTCGGTATATTGAAGTTTGATTTCGATATTTCACGGTATGATAATCGATAAGCATAATTTATTCAACTTCGACTAATATATACTCGTATAATAGAGTATTATGACTTCGAAAATTACAAAAAGGTCTTTATTGTATCATACTAAAACATTACACATATAACAATATATCTGCAAAATAAAGTACAAACAACTCCTTTTGTTAATCAATTACAATTCAAATACATTTCGATCAAATTAGAGTAGTCAAAGTTTTAGCTTCTAAACATTTAGTTTATACTAATACTAGGTTGCATATTTGTTAGTATTTTAATAATGTATATGTTATTTATGTAACTATATACTTCGGTATGGTATTCAGTATTTCGATATGTTATATCTAAATACCAAATACCGTAATGAATAAAAAAAATTAAAATATATATCATATACCACACCAAATATCATAATATCAAAACTACAGTATTAAATTTTTTGATATGGTATGATATTTCGGTATATACATACCATGCCCACCCCTATTCACCAGTTGTTTAAGCAACAACTGGAAGCTCAATTGCTCTAAGACCATGTTGATGTTGGATATTTTGTAATATAAAAATGTTTTAAATGGAACAAACATATTTATTCATGAAAGAACATGTCTATTATAAAAAGTTATCTGAAAGAAAATGACTATTATGAAAAGTCATTTGTTCATGAAAGAACATGACTGGTATGAAAAGTCATCTCTTAAGTCTTATAAATATAAGGACTCTCCAGAAATAGCCTAAGAAAAATCTGCAGGCATATACAAGGATTTTGTTGTATCATGAAAGGAATGACTTGTATTTTCCTCAATATGTATACGAGTCATATCTCTTTAAGGAAAATGATTATTCACGCCTCAAAGTCATCTTCTTCTTCAACTATATTTCCTAATTTTTCTAACAATTGATACTTGAGTTGTCAAGATGAAGAATAAATGGTTCAAAGGAAGAAGAGAAATAAATTATATTTTGTTTAATCATAATGGTTTACTTACTGCGAAAGCTATGAACAATAATAATGATTTAGCGAATAACTCGAAAGAGATGTCCAAAAAAAAAAGCTTTTGACGTCTCTTCTTTGGGGTTGAACCCAATGGTCCATGGAAACACTCAAAGTGGTGTTGTATACTATTGTAGAGTGGACAATTAACATATTTAGCAACATCTAATACATAATCATCATACTTATCAAATCTATAACCAATATATGTCAACGTGCAAGCCATAAGATAAGTTTCCAAAAAACATTTTTTTTGAAAAATAACTTCCATCATATCAAACACACATATCGAATAAATAAAGAGTACCTAGTGTTGCTATTGCAAAGTTATATAGAAGCATAAACTGGATAATTAAAATAAATTTGACCAAACTCATTGCCATGACCAGGATAAAATGAACAACAAAAATATGGGGAAAAAAATCCTAAAAGAGCTTACCTAAAAGCCAACATGAGCACAATAATAAGTGTATCACATAAATGTTAAGGATACACAAAATATTCTGCTAAATTAAGATACAATATAATCTATCTCAAAATAATCGATCTCATATATGATATATCCCCAATCAAACAAAAGGTTATGTATGACAAGGTAAATGTGTTTGATACCAAACAAATGTACAATAATCCCAAGTCAAGAACTGAACAAAAGCCTATAATCTAATACCAATCATTAGTTCCAAATGAAAAAAAAACAAAAATAAATCAACAACCCAAGTCATATCAAATAAAATAATCTTCAAAAACATGAAACATGCAATTTCCATTTGAGAAAACAACTTTTCCACTGCAAAGAGCCCAATGAGAGTTATCACCGATAGTCTCAATAGCATTGGATCATCATATTGATGATTCGTCAGAATGATTTCTATTCTTGAGAATTGGGCGCTTGATGCTCTTGTCACCTGCATATGTAGGTTTAAGGTAAACTTTAGAGGAGATTATGGGTGTGACGAAAAATATTTTCTTAAAAAATAAGTTATTATTAAGTTTTAACAAAATATCACCATGACAAACTTTTTTTTATCAAAGGAGGAAAATGACTAATTCAAGCATATACATCAATCTTCTTTTAATACTAAAAAACTTCATTCAAAACACTACCCAATTTGAAAAGGGCTCCTTTCATTCGAAACATAATTTTTTATCCTGTGTCTGATATGGATTTATAATACAAAAATGATTTGAAATTCTTAGTAATTTAGCTAGAACCAATAATCAAACACAAAATATATGCAACACCAAATTAGATAGAAGCATTAACCTAATCATCAGAGTAAACTTGATCAAACTCACTGCCTTGTTCATTAGGTAGGTTAGCACTTGAAGGTCCAAGATTCTGAAAGAGATAGTCCATGTTATTGAAATTTAAATATGCATCACAAAATTAATACTAATTTTAGCTAGAATCAATAATAAAACACATAATATATATAATACCAAATTAGATAGAAGCACTAACCTGATCATCAGAGTAAACTTGATCAAACTCACTGTCTTGTTCATTAGGTAGGTTAGCACTTGGAGGTTCAAGATTCTGAAAGAGATTATCCATGTTATTGAAATTTAAATATGCATCACAAATCTATACTAATTTTTAGCTAAAATCAATAATCAAACACAAAAAATATGTAATATCAAATTTGATAAAAGCACTAACCTGATTATCAGAGTAAACTTGATCAAATTCACTGCCTAGTTCATTAGGTAGGTTAGCACTTAGAAGTCCAAGAATCTGGAAAACTTATCCATATTATTAAAATTTAAATATGCATCACAAATTTATACTAATTTTAGCTAGAATCAATAATCAAACACATAATATATGTAATACCAGATTAGATAGAAGCACTAACCTGATCATCAAAGTAAACTTGATCAAACTCACTCCCTTGTTCATTAGGTAGGTTAGCACTTGAAGGTCCAAGATTCTGGAAGAGATTATCCATGTTATTGAAATTTAAATGTGCATCACAATTTTCCTTCTCATTTGAATTACTCCCTTCAACATAATTCTCATATGATGCCACATCACTATTTCTTGGACCATACATGATTGGTTCACCCACATATTGTTGAGAACTTGCATTCACATTTGTTCCTCTCAGACCATTAATAGTAACATTTCCAACATAAGTGTCAGACATCATTGCACTACTTGAATAAGTTGTCACATTGTCCGCAGTGACATTCAAGTTGTAGTTATTAATTATTGCATTTCCAATATATGTATCTGACACTATTCTGCTACCTGAATATGTTGCTCCCTGAGCCACATTGAGATTAAAGCTGTAATTTTTTTCACTATGATTATCTCCATTGTTAAGTAGCATATCAGGCCTAAAATTAGTGTTCCCAGTAATTGAGTCTTGTAATCTTTGTAAACCCAACATTTCAAATAATGGTCCATGTTGTTGTTGTATCCCACCACTAACATTAGTTTGAGGAGACAAAAATGAATTATTATATGAATTGTCAATGCTGAGGTTATGGGGTTGAACCTGAAATTGTGGGCGGTAGAGTTGTTGTTGAATTGAGCTCTCTCCTTGAGTAAAAATATTGTTGGTATTATGAGTAGCAAATGGAAACTCTGGGCCTCTTTGAATTTGATTTGGGTTCCGTTGTTGATTTGGTACATTTACTTGAGGATAAGGCATTACCCCAAATTTTCGAAAGCTACTTCTTGTTTCATGAGAAATGACTATGGGTCGCTGGATTGATAGGTGACGAATATATTTTCTCTCTTTTGGAGATCTCCAATTATTGCGACGACATTTCTGAGAGGTTATAAGAAAACAATAAAAAAAGAGTAAGTCATGGATATATTTATCACCCAATTCATTGTTATTTAGATGTATTTGAAATGTCCGGAGTCATTTATAAAAAAAAACATTTTTGGCATTTGGTAATTAGTGAATGATAAAAATCTTTTGAAATAATATGAATTAAAAATTGAGAGTAATATTATCCCATTGAACTATAAAATAATGGAATTTAACAATAAATAATTAACTTCTATCAATAATCATGTAACAAAAGTGTATCGCTAATTCTTTTTAATGAGGGAGTGTTTTGATAAGACTTTCAAGTACTAAAGATTCATAACAATGTCTAATAATTTACTGACAAAAGTGAAATATAATTAGATTTTCTCATGCTTTGATTAAGATAGTTGTAACAAAAATAATCACAAAACTCTTTGATGAAAAAATTGTCCACGGAAAACATTTTCTAGCAATCAAATACGAAAAAATAATGATTTAATTTTTATTTGCCATATTTGCCATATAACTTTCTCCATACTTCACACCCACAAATGATACATAATTTACCACTTAGTTTTTTTGAAAAAAATATACCTGCAAATGGCTCGCAACTTGCATTCTAGTAAGACCAGGCAAACTCATTACTTGCAGGATCTCCTTAGGGTAACATCCTACATAATCCATAAGAATGTAAGTTTAATTTAATAACTATAATATTCTCACATCAATCCACAATATATCTAAATAAGAAAATCACTATGCTTTAATTTTAAATAAGTGAACATTAGCTATACGTATGAACCCTGATTGTTCATATTGTTCCATATAATTGAATTCTCAAAAAAAATTATTATTAGTGAAGTAAACTTACGTCCTTCCCCAAGTTGGCGTACAGCTTGCATAAATGTGACATGAAGATCCTCAGTCCATTCTCTGTAGTCCTTTTGCCTAACAACCTTATCAATAACATTGTTTTGCCTTTCTCCTTCGCTATTCTGTTTCATGCCTTTTGTACCTCTCTTCCTCTGTAACATGTATTTTCCACTTAATGCAACATCCTTTCTAGCCTCATGAATATTATTGTTTTGTGCCTTACTATAAGACACATTTTTCTCTTCAGATTCTTTATTTTCTCCAACAATATTGTTATTACTAATCATCTTAACCTTCATCTGATCTTTATGTTTTCCAGATCCTTCTCTCGCTTTCTCTTTTCGTACTTTTTCACCCAGTACAAATTGCCACAAGTAACTCACAATTTCCTTGTCAAATGGCTTTTTAAGGTAAAGATAAGCTCCACCATTCAAAGTCTTCTTTGCAACGACTTCATTGGATTCATCACATACAACTGCATAATTATTTCAAGAAACTATCAATTAGAATTAAATTAAATTATACAATATGCATTATATGTATAGTTAATTTAATACTAATTTACTAAATTTTATTAACACTAGAGATCGAAATGAAGCTGGGCAGGTTAAGCTTAACTCACAAAATTTTAACCCGCTCCGCCTCGACCCACATAATTTTTTTTAATTAAGTTTGATACTAAAAATAAAATTCATAAATATAATTTATTTTCTCATTAAGTTGTATTAATTTAATAGATAATGACTTAATTAAAATTAAGTTTGACCCGCATAAAATTGCATAGACACGAAATCCGCCCCACCCCACATTAATTTTTTTTAAATCCACTTCAACCGGCCTTGTATCCCTCCTCGCCCCGCACAACTTTAAAATCGCCCCATCCGACATAGCCTTAAACCCACCCGTATCCGCTTTTTCTCAATGTCATCCCTAATTAACACTAATATTACAAGACAATTGTTTGTCATGTACTAAAAAAATAAGAATTATCAACTTAATTATGCCGCTTAACCATAAAACTCATCGCTAATTCAATTTAATCATGTATTTTTAGAAATTTATTTAGCTACAAACTACAAAACAATAAATTAACAGTGAAATTTATAGTTAATTCTTTTGAAGTGTATTAATTAAAATAACTGACTTTGCTTATAGTAGATGTCATAAGTAGAAGAATAGGATAAAGACTTACCGAGTGAAATTATATTTAAAGCCTCAGCTTGAGCTAAGAGGTCAACAAAAGATGAATTTGATAAATGGACATTGAGGATCATCACATCAATTTTTTGCTTTTCTTTAGAGAGCATTGACATTGCTGTTGAAGTCTTGTCAACCGTTGTAACTGTATCAATTCTCTTTGAAAGTTAGTGAACAAAATTATACACAAAATTATCATGAAGGTTATTAATTTCTCATAAGCATCTTCATTTATAAAATTTTAGCTTGTATTGCAACAATTTAGTTTATGCAATTACACATATTGATCAATTTGTATTATAATTAATGTGAGCAAATATTAGACATGATCACACAATAAAGTTTTATACAAATTTATTTAGGATAAATAATTGAATTATAGAATAGAGAAGATCATATAAGAATATATTATTAAAAAAATCAATTCTAATTAATTAGCGAAAAATTGAAAGTAGGAATGATTTAACATATAATTTTATTTTATTTTTTATTTAACACATATAAGATAAGGAACAACTAATAAATATTAACACAGTAAATGAGAAATCAAAAAAAAGAAGAAGGGGAAAAGCCATAAAATAGACTAAACTACACTAAAATCTTTAGTTATCTGGGGGATCTATTTTGCAAGGTGAAATAATTCTATAGTATCATTGTTTTAAAATAATTTACGAGTACGATAATTATAGAGTGACTTTATTCTTTTAGAATATTCTGCAAAATTGTCTATTGTCTTCACAAGTTAAAATAAAGGAAGTAAGTAAATAATGATTAAGGTGGAGACAAACAAGAAGAAAGAAAGATATTTGGTAAGTAGCCACTAAACTAGATTCAATTTTTATTCCCTTTAAAATTAAGAAGAAAATTAGTGAATTAAAATATTTTTAAAATTCAAAGACGTGTATATAAAAATATTAGTATAAGAATGACAAGATACAATTTCTTTTTGTAGAATTACAAAAGAAAAAAAAAACTCCTCGAAGAAAGCAATTTTTAAATAAACAAAAAATGGAAGGGAAATATTTATATTTTATTATAATCAAATCTCTTCATATTTTTTTTTGTCAACATGCTGATAAAAAAATAATTATTTCAAGGTCAATAATAATGATAGCCAGATCAGTCTTATCTAGCCTTTCTTTTGATTTTGCACTCCCCTTCCGTTAGCATATTCTTGTGCCGCCGCCACCCTAGCAAACTTAATTATTATTTTTAAAATGATCTATAAATTGATAAAAATCAAAGATCTACCTCGTCAAAAAATTAATTTGTGGAAATTACTTAATTTCCTCCTCCCACCCTATGTCACCCAGAACCAATTGATAAAGAAAAGTCCCCCCCACCCCCCCAACCCCTCCTCCTTTTTTTTTATTTACAAAATGTCAAATGTAAAACACAAATGTAAGTTGATTAAAATTAACATAGAATTGTCTTCCTCCACAGACATCTCATAACATTGCATAAAATTATCAAGCCTTTGTGAAACATCATATATATATATATATATCGGGGGGGGGGGGGAGCTAATTAAGTGCGTGATATTTTTATGCTATAAATAAAATATAGAAATTTTTGTAACCGCACAAAACACATTTACTGACTAGGAAAATAATATATACAAGTATACAAATAGTGTTATAACAATAACGAAAAGAGAAATTAATTTATAAGATACATAAATAAAATCTAACAAAGAAATCAAAGTGAAAATCACAAATGAGATCACATGCATCATATCAAATTTAGCTATATCAAACATCAAAGGTTATAAGTACGTTATTATATATATATATATATATTAGATGTCACCTTTATAATTGTGAGCCATTAACAGATCGGTCATCTCAGTGACAAACTCTTTGTCATCATCAATCAACATCACCCAAATTTCTCCAATCATACCATGATAGGGACCTGCCATCAAATTATCTATTATTTTGATAGTTTCAGAATTTTATGTTTCAGCCTTAATAAGAAGGAGATACAAGAAAATAATTTTTTATTTAAAAGAAAAAAATTGTAGAGAACACCTTAACTCTTTTAATAGGTGCTTATATAGTACATTTAATGACTAATAGATATGTTTAGCGTTGACCATACATATAATTTTTATTTGATCTATTTAATGTTTTTCCTTTCTTGAGTCAAGACAAGGGCATACTTTTGACTTTTTTTTCTTTTCCGTTTATGAGATTAATATGGAGGGCAATATTTTTCTTTAAAAAGTTAATTTTCATTTTTCAAGAAAACGTTTTCAATTATAGGAAGAATGACTTACGTCATTCATGGGATATGAGTGCATAATAATTTTCATTTAAAAGATATAATAGTAGCGCTCTTACTTTATCTCAATCTTTATAACCGAGCTCACATATTTTTGATAATTATACTCTAACGCTTCATAAAATATTATCTCCTTATCATATCATCCACATAGCCTTTTCAAGGTAATATATATATGAATATCAGACATAACCTTCATAATTTTATTGTAATCTATACATTAAAGAATATAGGAAAACTAGAAAATATCCCATAAATTCAAAATACTTACAAACCCCTTTACATGCATACCCCACTAAATAATTATACTATACACCCTTCCCCTCCAACTAATTTCGCTTAACTAATACTAAATCAATATATATTGTATTGGTATCATTAAAACTTGTAATTTCGCTTAACTGATACTAAATCAGTATGTGTATATATATAATTAACATTTCTTTTTAAAAAATTAGTCATTGTCAATTATATTATAAGAGTATGTGTATATTTTTGTGGTATCATTAAAGTTTCTTGTTGAGAAATTACTCATTAATCAATAATTCTATAAGGGTGTGTGTGTATATATATTATTAATGTTTCTTGTTTAGAAGTTAGTCATTGTCAATGATATTATCAGAGTATGTGTATATTTTTGTGGTATCATTAAAGTTTTCTGTTGAGAAATTACTCATTAATTAATAATACTATAAGGGCGTGTGTGTATATATTTGTGGTATCATTAAAGTTTTTTGTTCAGAAATATTGTCAATGATACTATGAGAGTATATATATATTTTTATTTTTGTAGTATCATTAAGGTTTCTTAGTCAATCTATACTCATTAGTCAATGAAAATAAATATCTCTCTCTCTATCTATATATTACTGTAAGAGTATATATTACGAAATGGTATCTCTATTAAAGGAAAATATGAAAATAATAATAATAATAAATGAGAAAAAGAACAAAAGTAATATATTTAATTTTCTTAAAAAGGTAAAAATATAGAAGGAGAGAAAAAAAAATTAAAAAGAAGATGAACTAACTAAAAAAAAGAAAAAAAAGAAAAATATTACCAAATGGTATCTCTAATAAATGATAATATGGAAAAAAACAAATGAGAAAAGAATAAAAGAGAAAATAAAAATAATTAATGAGAAAGAACAAAATTATTTTATTTTATTTTATTAAAAAGGTGAAAATATAGATTGAGAAAAAAAAAATCAAAACAAGATAAACTAACAAAAAATGTAGAAACAATAAAATTGTTATATGGTATCTATAGTAAAAGATTTAATAAAAAAAGAATAAAAAATAAATGAGAAAATCAAAAATAATAAATGAGAAAAGAATAAAAGAGAAAGAAAAAAAATGAGAACGAAAAAAAATTAATGCTAGGACAAAAAGAATAAATGAGAGAAAGGAATGGGGTAGGAGCTGTAATTTTTTTTTTTTTAGAAAATAAGTATTTTTTGAATTACTTTGGATTGGGGTATGAACTATTGTTGACACCCAATTTTGGTCAAACATTTTCAAAATTCATAACTTTTAAGTTTTATTTATTCAATAGTCCAAAATATATTTTTTATGATTTTAAATAAGTTTATTGATATTTATCCTTATTTGTCAAAATTTCAGAATATTTTATCAGTTAATTTTAATTACATAATTTTTTGTCACAACAGATTGACTACGTTCAAATATTTGTTCATTTTGATTAAATCATTATTTCTGTTAAATAACATTTTTTACATGTCATTAGTTACGTTCATTACGTTTTTTATATTCATTTTATTCGTTACATTTGTTAATATTTATTTGATATTTTGCACAATCTAGAAATTCATTCAAATATGGATAATATTTCATACACATATATTTTATTGGCTAGTGGTTTTAGCCCATGGTTTTAAGATAGTGGTATTGTACTATATATGGTTTTCGATTTTCTATTTAAGGAATAACTTGGTCATTAAGTTAGAGTAGTGGTGGATAAGATTTTAGGGGTAGTTTTCAAATTTTTTAGTCTTCAAAAAGTTCTTTTTTATTGTTTCTTATTTTTTCTTGCAACTCACCGGAGTTCCGCCAGAATCCGGCGAGTCCATCACCCAAAAACCCCACTTTTCTCCTTTATTTCTTTTCCGTTTTCCACCTCCACATCAACAACCAACCAAAAGAACCCCTCAATTTCTTCTTCTTTCAGGCTGTTTTTGTAAAGATAATGTCACGTAGGAGTTTGAGTGGAAGTCTATTTGTATTTATTTGCTGATTGTTAGGAATCAATTTAGAAGAAGTCGTATAATTGCATTTTGATTAAAAGTCCTTAGCCGTGACAGCTTTGAAGTTCTATTCTCCAAGAAACTCATGTATATATATTGATGTATTCGCGTGATGAATTGAATATTGAGAATCATCTTTAACATGGTATCAAGAGCCATTAGAGGTTAAACCAACCCAATTTTTTTATTTTTTTTTCATCGAGGAAAACATATTTCATGGGTGAAACCAACAGCTATTCCATGATGCCCTCGTCTTCTCCAAACCTCGCACATCAATTGCCTGTGAAACTCACATCTTCGAACTATTCATTGTGGAAGACACAATTTATGCCTATGATATTTGCATGTGGCTTGAATCATCATAATGATGGTACTATTCAGATACCAACACAATTTTTGGACAATACCAATACCAAATTCAATCCAGCGTATTCTAAGTTGGATTATTATTTCTGTTTCAGAAAGTATTCTACCTCAGTTGGTCGGAGCGATGACTGCTTGCGCAGCACGGGACAAACTTGTTGCTGCATATGCATCTGGATCAAGGCCATACATTCATGAACTCAAATCGCAGTTGCATACTCTGCATCGTGACAATGTCAGTATTGAGTCATATGTACAAAAGGCAAAGGGAATAGCAGATAAGTTGGTTGCACTGCAGCATCCAGTTCTGAATGATGATCTAGTAGAATTCGTTCTTGCTAGAATTGGACCTTCCTAACGTCCTTTTACTAGGTTGCTTGAATCACGTCAAGAAGAAATTACTTTTGATGCATTGTATGGATTGTTGTTGAACGAAGAACGACAATTGAAAAGGGATGAAGCCCTTACAATCATTACACCTACGACACAATATACTCAGAGTTCCTTTTCTACCACCCGTGGACGTGGTAGAGGCCGAGATCGTGGGCGTTTCTCAAATCACATCTTCCAACCGTCTCAAAATCGTGGGTTTCATAACTATGCACATACCAATTCTACATCATCTCAAACTTTAGATATGTCTGAAATTATTTATCATAATTGTGAAGGTAAAGGTCAAATTGCACATGTGTGTCTATCTCATTGGAGTAACACTAGCAATAAAGTTTCTGGACAACCTATTTCCAATTTAGCACGAACTCTTTCTCCTCAAAATTGGTTAATGGATAGTGGCACCATACATCATCTTACAACTGATCTTGAAAATTTGGGTATTCATTCTGAATACCAAGGTCCTGAGGAAGTTACTATAGGTAATGGTTCCAAAATTCCTATTTCTCACATTGATAAAAGTTCAGTTGTTATATCTGGAAAAAAAATTCTATCTTGATGACATCCTACATGTTCCAATTATTGCTCAAAATTTATTGTCTATTAGTTGTTTTGCTAAGTCTAACCAAGTTTCAATTGAATTTTTTCCTTACCATTTTTTTATTAAGAACTTGCGACGAGGGACATACTGCACACAGGCCTGAGTGAAGATGGATTGTATTCTCTTCCTGTGTTAAAGTCATCAGCACCTGCATCTTATGCTGCATCTCTAGGGGTTTGGCATGCTCGTTTGGCTCATACATAACTTCTTACTATTCGTCAAGCATTGTCGTCTAGCGTCATTGTCCCTTCCTTTAAATCTTCTAGTTTATGTTCTACCTGTGCTGTCAGTAAAAGTCATAAAGTTCCTTTTCGTGATTCTAGTTGCAAGCCTTCGGGCCTTTAGACCTAGTTTATTCAGATGTTTGGGGTCCTGCTCCAGTTGTTTCAAATGATGGGTATAGATATTATGTGATTTTCTTTGATAATTTTAGCAAATATACATGGATTTATTTCCTTCGTCTTAAATCTGAAGTCCTTTCAATATTTATGCAATTTTGTACAATTGTTGAAAAATATTTTGTTCGTCCCATTAAAAATTTTCAAGAAAATTGGAGAGGAGAATATCAAGCATTGACAAATTACTTGAGAGATAATGGAATTGTGCAGTGTTCCTCTTGTCCATACACCCCTGAACAAAATGATTGTGCCGAAAGAAAACATAGGCATATTGTTGAAACTGATCGAGCATTGCTACATCATGCCAATGTCCCACATAAATTTTGGACAAATGCATTTGATACCGCTGTGTATACTATAAATCATTTACCAACCCCACTCTTAAACAATAAAACTCCATTTCATGTGTTATTTAACACTGATCCAGATTACTCTTTGTTGTGTGTTTTGATTGCCTTTGTTTTCCATGGTTGCGTCCTTATACAAATGATAAATTGTCTCCTTGATCTGAAATGTGTGTGTTTTTGGGCTATAGTAAGTTGCACAGAGGATACAAATGTTTTGACCCTGTTTCCTCAAAAATTTATATTTCTCGTCATGTCATCTTTGATGGAAATATTTT